CCAATAAGATAATTGTTCAATATTTTTCTTATTTTGTAATGTCTGGCTTTGGGATCAGGATTGAATTATCCTTGTAGAACTGTATGACAAATCTTTCTGATTTTCACATTTCTAGAAAATTTTGTAAAGAAGTATCCTTTTTTCTCTAAATATTTGGTAGTTATTATCAGAGAAGCCATTAGTACTTGAAGGTTTCCTTATGAAAGTTTTTGAAATTACAAATTCAAAAATTTTACTCATTGTATTTCTTTCCAGAATTTATCTTTCTTCTTGTGTTTTTCTAGCATTACCCATTTTATAAATACTTCACATATAATTTCTCAAAATATTTCTTAAAAATATTTTTAGTTTTAAGATCACCCCTCATGTTATTACTGTGAACTTCATTATATTCACAATGGCTCCTGGACTTATATTTTACATGTTGTTTTTCAAATAAAGTCAGCTCCATCTGGCAGAGTCACAGAGGTTCCAGAATGTCCTGTATGCCAAGGTCACATGTGCAAACCTCCATAACATGGTACCAAGGCCAACATGGGAGAGTGAGAAACATCAGCCATGATATTTTTGTCTTGGCCCTACAGGAAAATAAAACATCTGTGTAGCAGTGGCAGAACAGAGAAATGGCCGGACAATGAGTTGTAAGGGGAGATGGTTGTTCCTTTGTGCTAGGCTGCCAATGCAATACAGAGCTGACAGCAAACACTGGGGAGCGAAACACCTCTTGTTAATAAGACACAGACTCCCATTTTATGCAAAGCTGGGAGAGTTTTCTGGAATAGATGTTCCTTGATTTGTCATATGGCCTCCAGTTATTTTACAGATGTTTAAAGGTTTCTGTTTAGTGTGAATGTATCTGAAAGAATTGTGCAATTTTATTGCAGTTATGTCTTTGTCATAATGACTTCATTTTATTTTCCTATGCACAAGAGTAAGTTTGCTGGGCACTTTGATAGCTTTATTGTTAATTTTTTGAGGAACATCTGTGTAGTTTTCCATAATGATCATAAAATGATCATAAGAAAGGGAGATGATCAAATTAAGTGCTAAATATTTAAATTTTAAAAAATATTATGGTAAAAGCCACATGGCCATCAACCCCCCTGAACATAGCCTTTCTTTTGACACACTCCATCATTAGTGACATTTTCTGAAGCATTTTTGAAAGTCTTTTTTCATGTTTGAAAATCTTTTTTCATATTTCTATAAGTTGTGATAAAAAATGTGAATGCACTGTCAAGTACCACCAAGGGAAAGGCAGGCTCATAAAAATAGGATCTTCTGATCTACCTTATTCACTGGATCTGACACCAGCCATCATGTAGCTCTTTCTCAAAGTTAAAATGGCCCGTACGAAGTAAACATTTTGTTGGAGTGCTACTCAGCCATGAAGAATGATAAACTAGAGATATTTATAGCTAAATGGATGCACACTGAGGCCATACACTTAAGTGAAATAAATGGGACACACGTGTAAATACCAAATAGTCTCTCTGGTGTGAGAAACTGAAAGTATAAATAAGGATCAAAATGTATAATAGTTAATGTGAAATAGGAAGATAAGCTCCAAAGGGGTAGGGGATGGGAGCGTGGGAGTGGTGGAGAAAAGGAAAGGAATAAGGAATATATATGAGGAAAAAAATGGAAACAAAGTCTTTGCAAATAAGGTGGAGTGGAAGGTTTGAATGGAGGACAGGGGAATGGGGAAAAAATAAGAACCAAGATATATCATGTAAAGGTAAAAATTTCCAGTCATGAATGTCAGTATACTATATACCTAAAATGTACCAGTAAAATTAATTTAAAAAGGTAAACATTGTGAATTGACTCAGGATATTGAGCTAGGTGAAACTAAAGACATTTCTACCAACAGGGTTCAAGGATTCTCTTTCCTCCACACCCTCATTAGCATTTATTATTTAGGTCTTCATTTATTGACAAAATAATTTAATTACTGTTACAATAATAATGATAAAATAGATTCAATTTTAACAAATTTTCTACATATGCATTCAATATATAAAAATGTACTTTGCTTTTATATAACAGGAATAATCTACTAAAATCTAATTCAATGGAAAGTTCTCTCATTGTAACACCATAATAACAAAATATGATGACTGCAAATTAATCAAAGATATTAGATTGCTAAATTTTATAAAAGAAATTATAATTAGATATAAGTTCATACATTAAATAATCAAAATCATAGGGTGGTTTGCAAAATTTAATTTATAAATTCATCCAATTTTAATTGATATTCTACATTTGCTTTTGTAGAATTTGACAACTAATATTAAAATTAAGTGGAAGAGTTAATTAACAAGAACTATGGTCATTTAAATATGAAAGATTTTGAATGCATTGTTTAACTGTGTTGAATGGAAACTGAAGATAGTGCAATCGAACTATATAGCCAGCCAGAGGATGGGAATACTTTTTCATGCTTGTTTGTATGTGAATATTATGCAATTATGTTGTAACAGTTGAAGTTATGCTGGTACTGTGCAGTCTAGGCAATGTCATTCTAGAAATTAAAAGGTTAGAGGTTAATAACCTATAAAGTACATTTATAAACAATTACATTCTACTTAAATTTCACTCTGGGAACATAAAATGGTTAAAGATAACAAATTAGGTTGAAGTTTCCTTATGTCATTTAACATTTTATAATTAGAAAAGTATAACTGACTAAAAGATTATTCTATACTAAGATGAACAATTTAATGTGTTTCAGAGAAAATAAAAATTAATACTTCTAACATAATTATGTCATCATGATTGTTGTACTAAACTATTATGCTACCCTTGATCTCAAGTTTTCTCTTTGAAACTTTATAATTTTTATGTATTAACATTCTGAAAGGATTCAACTCATAAGCCAACCATGATTGACAGTCTCCTCAGACAGGGATAAATCTTATCATTTAAAAGGCAATAAACTTTGACAAATAAAAAAAAAGACACTAAAGATAGTGTAGTACTGTCTTAGCGAGACAAAAAGCTCAGTGGAACAAAGACAGACCAAGTACAGACCAAGGCGGTATGTGAATAATTGATATATACAAAGAAGACATTATAATCCATAAGGAAATGCTATTCAATAAATATTATTTGGATGATTGTTTATAATCAGTTGAAAATAAATTCAAGTGATTGTCTTTAGTTTTGCTGTTCTGGCTGCCTTGATGTCTTGAATTGATTCAAAACTTTTACTGTTTGAGGTCATTTTCAAACAAGGAAGAGCCAGAAGTTGAACACACAATACCACAGCCAGTGAATGACCTTGATGGAGCTTCCTCATAATGCTTTTTCAAACCTGCCTTTCCCATTGGATGGCATAGACCACAGCATTCACCATATTTGTGACCACACACTGTAAAGGCAACCACTAAACAGGAGTTCCAGAACTGATAAAGAAAGTAAAAAGAAGGATGGGAAGTGTGGGTGAAGCAAGGGGTGGTTTCTGAGGAAGAGTAATGGCGATGTGTCTTTTATTGTGATGCATTTTTAAAAAGCATTTGTTTTGATTACACCTTGTATGCATATATGCTGAAATGAACCATTTATAAGAGGAAACAATTGGAAAGATTGTGAATGCCCTCCACAGGAGGATAGTTAACTATATTTCAGCATGAAACAAAAGTCACTGTAATCGTTAAAAGGAAGCAAATAAGGTGACATGTACTAAACACATCATCCTTAAAAATATAAAACTGAGTGAAAATAAAAACTCTTCATCTTGATAAAAGTCATCTAGATCTGTCTGGAGCTGATGTGTAAAGGTTAGAGGTTAATAACCTATAAAGTACATTTATAAACAATTACATTCTACTTAAATTTCACTCTGGGAACATAAAATGGTTAAAGATAACAAATTAGGTTGAAGTTTCCTTATGTCATTTAACATTTTATAATTAGAAAAGTATAACTGACTAAAAGATTATTCTATACTAAGATGAACAATTTAATGTGTTTCAGAGAAAATAAAAATTAATACTTCTAACATAATTATGTCATCATGATTGTTGTACTAAACTATTATGCTACCCTTGATCTCAAGTTTTCTCTTTGAAACTTTATAATTTTTATGTATTAACATTCTGAAAGGATTCAACTCATAAGCCAACCATGATTGACAGTCTCCTCAGACAGGGATAAATCTTATCATTTAAAAGGCAATAAACTTTGACAAATAAAAAAAAAGACACTAAAGATAGTGTAGTACTGTCTTAGCGAGACAAAAAGCTCAGTGGAACAAAGACAGACCAAGTACAGACCAAGGCGGTATGTGAATAATTGATATATACAAAGAAGACATTATAATCCATAAGGAAATGCTATTCAATAAATATTATTTGGATGATTGTTTATAATCAGTTGAAAATAAATTCAAGTGATTGTCTTTAGTTTTGCTGTTCTGGCTGCCTTGATGTCTTGAATTGATTCAAAACTTTTACTGTTTGAGGTCATTTTCAAACAAGGAAGAGCCAGAAGTTGAACACACAATACCACAGCCAGTGAATGACCTTGATGGAGCTTCCTCATAATGCTTTTTCAAACCTGCCTTTCCCATTGGATGGCATAGACCACAGCATTCACCATATTTGTGACCACACACTGTAAAGGCAACCACTAAACAGGAGTTCCAGAACTGATAAAGAAAGTAAAAAGAAGGATGGGAAGTGTGGGTGAAGCAAGGGGTGGTTTCTGAGGAAGAGTAATGGCGATGTGTCTTTTATTGTGATGCATTTTTAAAAAGCATTTGTTTTGATTACACCTTGTATGCATATATGCTGAAATGAACCATTTATAAGAGGAAACAATTGGAAAGATTGTGAATGCCCTCCACAGGAGGATAGTTAACTATATTTCAGCATGAAACAAAAGTCACTGTAATCGTTAAAAGGAAGCAAATAAGGTGACATGTACTAAACACATCATCCTTAAAAATATAAAACTGAGTGAAAATAAAAACTCTTCATCTTGATAAAAGTCATCTAGATCTGTCTGGAGCTGATGTGTTGAGTCCTCAGTCGGCTCATGGCTGATTTCATCTCTTGATTCCTCAGAGTGTAAATAACTGGATTCAGCAAGGGAGTGATAACAGAATAAAACACAGAAAGAAACTTATCCACTGAAAAGCTACTGAATGGCCAAGCATAAATGAAGATGCATGGCCCGAAGAACAGAGTGACCACTGTGATATGAGCAGACAGTGTGGACAGCGCCTTGGAGAGTCCACCTGAGGATCGACGTCGCACGGTCACCAGGATGACAGTGTAGGAAACGAGCAAGAGCACGAAGCAGATGAAAGACAGAAGTCCACTGTCGGCGATGACCAGCAACTCCAGCACATAGGTCTCAGTGCAGGCAAGCTTTATCACTAGGGGGAGGTCACAGAATATGTTGTCGACCACATTGGGGCCGCAGAAGGGCAAAGTGGCCATGAAAACCATCTGGCTCATGGTGTGCACAAAGCCAACCGCCCACGACAGCAGCACAGAGCCCAGCAGCACCCTGCGGTTCATGATGGCTGTGTAGTGCAGAGGTCTGCATATTGCAACGTAGCGATCCACGGCCATGACTATGAGCAGAGTCATCTCGCTGCCCCCTAAGAAGTGGAGGAAGAACATCTGAGCCATGCAGCCCCACAAGGAAATAGTTTTGTTCTCCCTGAGGAAGTCTATGATCATCTGAGGAGTTGTGATGGTGGAAAGAGACATATCAAGAAAGGAGAGATTTCCAAGGAGGAAGTACATCGGTGTGGAATGAAGGTGAGTGTCAAAGGTTATAGTGATCACAATTAAAATATTTCCACCCAAAATTGCTGCATAGGCCAACAGAAACATGAAAAAGAAGAAGATATCAAGTGGCCAATTGCTGGTGAGTCCTAACAAAACAAACTCAGATATCATTGAGCTGTTCTTCATATCCATCTAGGAAGGAGTTTCCAAAGTATTTAAGGTCAAAATGAAGGGCAAAAGGTGGTCAGTTCTGGTGACTTTAAGGGTATGGACATATGGAGAAAGAACAGAGATAAAACAGACGTTTATTAAAAATACATTTTAATGATTAATACAAGTGACATTGACATTATTGCATTTCTTTTCAGACAGAAAACCACAAAATATGAAATATTTATTTTAAAATTCTTTTAATTCAGCTTTCAGGTAGAGATTTTTGTCTCTGTTTACATTTGTTGTTTTTATCCTGAGTTCAGGAATTCAATGTGGCCAATAAGCAAAATGAGTCAAAGTGGCTATTAGTCAAATGAGTGAGCTGAAATTGTAAGAATACACTGTACTTCGTGATGCTTTGTATTCACTCTTTTTCATTTATCTATGCTGAAATATTCAAATATGTGTATGTGAGTTTAATTATATACACAACTCAATAAATTATGGCGCTTTCTCTTATCAGCAATGCTATATTCTCCACCTCCCTTTCACCATAAAGAATAGTCCAATAACTTCACTCCTGCATATTTAAACAGGCTATGCTTCTTACAGACTTCTCTACAAATGAAAGCCACCTCATCCTTATAGGAAGTTTGTGGATAATAATAGAAGTATTTCTTCTTGTTAAGATCTGTTTTCCCCCCTTTGGAATACTGTTCTGATTCCTACTTTATTTCTGAGCAGGAGTCTTGACTTGTACTGTCCACTCCTGTTTATTTTCCTGAACACATTCTTGCTGAACTCTTGGGTGAACTCTTCCTTTCTTTTCACTCTGTGTTCTCTATTTAGATAGACTCTCTTTATCTAAACTATCTAAATCTAAGCCTTTGAAAACTGTGTTGGTTTCATTGTCTCCTAAATGCTGATCCTTTCTTCTTCATGGCAATGTTTTACTCTGATGTTTTAGACCTGTGCTGCCTGGCTCTGCACTAATTTTCTGATTCTTCCTTCACCCATTGCACTTCGGGTTTTTCTTACATTGCACTAACACTGTAGGCTTACTTCTAATTTGTGTGTGTGTGTGTGTGTGTGTGTGTGTGTGTGTGCGCGTGCGCGTGCGCTCGTGTGTTGCTTTGGATCTTCTGGTCTTAGCTTTCCTTTTTTTTTCAAGCTAAGTAGTAGGGCTACCAAATACACAACACAGATAGACACAAATAGACATATCAATGTAAATGCACAGGCTTGTATTCTGTTCTGGCTCTGGAGCACCAGAACAGAGGCAGTAATCTACATATTCTGACTCTGAGTTTTTTGGTTCTATATTTGGTCAGAAGACACTGTGTAAGCCAAATATCTGAATAATAACTTCTGCAAAAGCAAAGTTTAATTCTGCTCTCAGCCTCAGAATTAATAAGGGAAGTACACTCTTAACCCTTAAGAATATTGATACGTTTCTGTAAAAGTAAAATAATAGCAACTGTTTAGCCTCATAAATAATTTAAGGTCTCTAATAGGTACTTCATGTTGAATATATTTATAGATTTTAGTGAACATTTATAGGTGCTATGTATGTGGATTGATGACATTATACATTTTTAATTAATCTCCTTTTTTGGTGTTAGGATACTCAAACTAGGGCTGGGAATTTAGCTCAGTGTTTCCACCACCTTTCCTGCAAGCACAGAACCTGAGTTCGATCCCTGGTATCCCTCCCCGACAAAAAAAGAGAATACTCTAATAAGGACCACAGAGGCATTTCACTGTGGAAGAATATTGTTCTCTTTTTTTAGTACAGTGACAATTCTCTAGTAGTCAACCTTATAAAGAAATATTTTGATCATCATTGGTATGGAACTCATGCAAAAATTGAGTCTTTAGGCCAGTTAAGAAATTGCAAAGTATAGTCCCAAATCTCAAAATACTAACAGGAGAAAATCTTGAGAATTCTCACAATAGAAAAATTTTAAATTACTGTATAATATAGAAGAATTATGAACCAAAACTGTATTTATTACTTTGGGTTTAAAATCTTTTATAAATTTAAATATCTGTACATTATTTAATATTTTCATGTACTTCATATGCAAATTTATAAAATTTATAAGTACTTAATGAATATATTTTATAAGTATACATAAAAATCTATGCCTTATCTAACTATAGATTGTTGGACTGAAATTTGATAAAGTTCATTCATTATGGCAATTTTATATATTACAAAGATTATTTTTGAAAGTATATGTACTTTTTTACTCAGTAACACCTAATAGCTTAGAATTGGAAATGCTGACCTTCCTAAATGAATGCAGGAAACATAGAAAATTTATATTTTTAGTAGGACATGTGACACAAATAACAATATATGAAAAAGGCATAATGTAATGAAATATAATTGCATAAAATTGGATCAGGCAGTGCTTAGTTTTGTTTCAGCAGGAACCATGTCTGAGAATGACCTATGATAAGATGAAGAGCCCAGCTTTTCCAGTGGATTAAAAATGAAAATTCCCGCAGTCCTTTCAACTGTGGTATAGGGAAAAAATAAATGGGATGAGTAGTACTGTGTATATCTGCTCTGTAACTAATATATTTCCATGGAAGCACTTAAGAAGCAAAGTTAGTAGGTATGGCAATGTGTGATGGACAATTTTCCTTTTATAAGAATAAGAACAACATGGCTTCTGTTGTGTGAATTTTAATATATTTCCTACTCATGAAACTACTAAGCCATAAGTGAATAAGATAATCTAGGGGTAATGTTTGTTTCACACTAATAATTTTATGGAAAGTGAAAAATCAAAAATGCTGAAAAGTAATTACTAAAAATACTTCCTTACTAAAATAATACAATTGAACTTTTAACAGAAGAATAGGTCTACACTGAAAGTATGCAGTCTTTATTCTCATGTATTGATAACATAAATGAAGTACGGATATATCTATTTTTGAGACAGTTAAAAGTACCAGTGGATCTAGAAAAATGGGATTAATTCTTATATTCAAATATTGTCAAATGAATAGAGTAGTAGTATGAGTAGACATTTGTATTGACTAAAATGTTATATGACTGCAATCAAGAAAATCAGTACAGAATTAAAAGAAAATAAAAACAAATTGAGTTAAGATAATCATTTATTTCATCTGATATTTCCTGGCTGATTTCTGAATTAAAATAAATGTTTGATGAAGGAAAATAAAAAAGTAGATAATACTAAAGCTAAATAAATATTTCTCAATTGTCTTGACCTGAGGTTTTATTAGATTAAATATCAGATTTGTCACAAATACTAATGTAGGTAAGGAAGAACTTAGATTTCCATTATTTTAATTTACATCTTCTTTTGTCTTCCATGGATTAAACTAATCCAAATTTAAATTTCAAAAGTGAAGTTCTAAGTATAAATCTGAATCCTGGAATCAAGAATACAAATAGTACTTATTGCAAAATGCTTTTTTGCTTCTTTTAGCAACTGGATTCATTTGTTGAGATTCTAACTGACAAATTTGTGTTTTTTATTTTTATTCTCATGATCAGAGTATGGTTTCCATTTGGATACAAGTTTTACACAAAATTTCTTTTCTCAAAATACATAATTCTAATTTAATAATTCTGTAATTTAAACTTACCAATTTTGGCTGAGGAGTGGCCTCTCTAAGACACAGGGAAGTTCTGACCACATCTTTCTTATCTTTTTTGCCCACAGTAAAAAATATTTGCAAAATAAATAATTACTGAAAAGGAAGCATATATATTAACATGTAGTAGTGATGAAGCCCCAGGGGCAATTATTAAAATAAACATTTTGGTTTTTTCTTGTGTTCAGAGAAAGGACTTACTCTCTAATTACCTAAGTGATCATGACTTCATAAAGTGGCTCAGCTATATGAATTTTCTCTAGCAAGTACTGTCTCTAGAAAGCACTGATTCAAGTAGTTTGATCGGTGTAATTTGAAAATATACATAGTGGGGCCAGGGATTTAGCTCAGGGATTCCACCACCTGCCTTGCAAGTGCAAGGTCTTGAGTTCAATCCCTGGAACAAAAACAAAAGAAAACAAAACAAAAAACAACCCCACAAAATATACATAAAAATGAACCTGTCATAGGTCATGGACTTGAAGACATAAAATTTATTTTTCTTTTGATTCATAAATATGAAGATTTATAATTAATTTGATAATTGTTTTATCCAAGTAAATTCAAAAAATACTGTGTAAGCTGAGCATGGTCTATATGGAAATTTATGGACAAGTGACAAAGTTTTTAACATAGAAAAAATCTCCTTACCACATAAGGGAATTGAGGGTAAAAATTTCATGATTCTGAATGACTTTTATTGGTTTACAGTAAGTGATCAGTACTCAGGGACACTCGCAATAAACCACTCAGAAGATTTATCCTTCTTTTTCATCCAAACTTGTGCCCAGAGGAGTACAATGTCCATACAGGCTTTTGAGTCTGCCAGGTGCTTTCTCCTCTCTCAGGCAAGATTTTCCTCACCATCTGGAGCCTGACAAAAATCCATATGCAGCATGAGCCAAGGAAACTGTCAGTTATCTGCACTCACAACTTTTCTGGTGCTACATCCAGGGCTGCCTGTAAATGCACATTGCCTGAGCGAGTTGTATCCCAACTGGTGGAGTGATTACACAAACCCTTATACTTTAGGCCACTGAGATATTTGAAGTCATTGCTGACACTGGTTACAGTGGAAGAAGCTGTACAGAAACCACACTACTGTACACTAAAACCAAACCAACATAGCCATCCTCACTGACATCCTATAGCACATCACACATCACCAGGCTAAGTCTTTCTATTGTGACAACCACCCTATAAAATTAATAAAGGCAATTGATTTGCCAGTTGTACAGATATTCATATAGGTATAAAAAAAATAAGAAAGAAATATAATATGTTTATATAAACACAATAACTGTCTAGGAACAGACCCCAAAAGAAAATAATGAAGTTGATGGAGCATTGCAAATAATGTTAAGCAAAATCAATGAAATACAAAAGAATATGGAAAGACATTT